TGCTGTGTATTACCTACATACCCTCCCCAAGAAAGGGCAGCCCTTGAGTGCATGCAGCACTCACTTCATGCACTCAGCCTGTCTCCTTTTGAAGGGGAGATGATGCCTCAACGGAGGAATGCAGCAATCCAGACTGGATCTGTCTAGGCTCAGACAGCTGTGATAGGCACCAAGTCTGAGGAAAGCATATGGACCTGATAACCAGAGAAGGCAGAAAAGCTCTTCCATGTTCATTAATCTCATCTCTATCTAACAGCAACCATCTACAAGAGAGGAGTCACAGTGCTCCAGGTCAGCAACTTCCACAAAAGCAGAGACCATCTCTGGCAGGGGGCACCACTTCTACAGCACTTCAGACAGCTTGCTTTTGCTCAGCTCCTAACTTCAGTAGCTTACCAAGATGATAGAAAAGCCTCCACTTCCAATTCTACCCAAGATCAAGATGAAGGGCTTTAGGAGCCAGCACTAAACATAGCTACATCTCTGCATCAACTCCCATCCATGTACACTGATTCCACTTTTATGGCATGTCTTGAGGTCTGCTTCATTGATGTCGATATGATCCAATTTTGAGACACATTAAGCAACTTTACCTCTCATAGCATGCAAGAAACTCATGTTCTTTTTTCTCCCTCTCATGCAAACACCTTGAAGACTCAGAATTGCTTGCTTACTGGTTTAACCTCTGCAGGGGCAAAGGAAGCAGATCCTCCAGCTTCCTCCCTTGGAACTGAGGTCGAGCCTCCTGGAGTTTCTTAAAACGTCGGAATGACTTATTTTTCCTCAATTGCTCCTGTGTGCAGCAGAAAAGGCATATAGCTTTAAGACTACAGAAAGCAATACAGGCTCTAGTCTGCACCAGAGCTTGGCACTCTTTAAGACCCTTTGAGTTTGGGAATGCAGTCAAAAACACAAACATCAACATCTCTTGTGACTATGGGCAAGCAATTCCCTTTCTCCTGACCATGATTTCCCAGTGGGTAGTAAAAGCAACATCCCTTCTTCATACATGCACAGCAATATAAAGCTAGTATACTCAGCAAATGGAAATAAAGAAAAAAAAAGAAGGTTATCTCAGACAGGAAAACCAGGAGACCACCTGTGGCTTTTTGCCACTCATTTCAAGACAAAGCAATGAAGCCCCACATTCCCATCACCTCAAGATAAGTATCCAAAATGGATTTTTCTTTTGGGAATTCGAAAGTGTGAATGCAAACAGAAGGAAAGTTCTTAATAAATGCTGCAGCAGTGAACAAGCATAGACAAAAAATGGAAGTCAGGTGGTTTAAATTCTAGATAGAGCTGTCAGGACTTTAAAATAAACAGATATCCTTCTGAAATTTCTTGGAAGACAGGTTGTATTTGGAGAGATAAGTGGGAAGGAAAAACTTTTCTTATAATCATAGAAAAAAAATAGGGAGGGAAAAGGAAATCCCATTGTTGGGATACAGTTAGTAGCAGTGGGAAATATTAGGACATGTGATAATTCTCTAGGAATAGATCACTGTGCCCTAGTGTTCCCGCTGCATACTCTCCAGGTTTGCCAGCCACAGAGGAGTGGGAGTAAATACAGAACTCTCTCTGAGAAAGCTGTGCTCCGCATATGCACATACATATACAAACACCTGAAACAAGCTTCAAAAATTTGAAGCTCTAAATAAGTAGAGAAGTTTTCTCCATGCTATTGTGGAAGACTGAGAAAATAGCAGCAGCCCAGAAAAAGGAAGAGAACTAGTCATTCCAGAAACAGAAGAAAAAGGGAAGGATGTAACTGTCTGACAGAATGGAGAAGGAGAGGGAAGAAAGAACATGAAGAATAAAATAGATATTTACCCTCAATGTTTTATTTGCCTGCTCCAAATTCTCAGCATAGTGGCCATAAAGCTCCAGATTCTGATAGAAATTTTCCAGTCCTGATCCTAGATTCCCTCTCTCCAGGTGAAGCGACAGAACACTGTGCACAAGGAGCAAAGTCTGCTCATGACGGGTACATTACTGACGGAATTTTCACAGCTCCCTCTTGTTCACTCTTATGCTGACTGTCCTTTGTCAGCCTCCAACTCATATCCAGTTTGTGTGCCAAATACATGCTTGGGGGTCACAGGGTAAGCTACAGAAAACATCCCTTAAAAACACCACACAGCAGATTTACTAGGTTTAAACCACTATTCAGAGAGCAACTGGACATCTGGATATGTGGATACAGTTCAGCAGCTTCCTGGAAACACCTGCAGGTACCACCAAGGCTAGCAGTAGTAAAAGTGAATGCCTGTTTAATAAGCTATTAGCTTTATTTCCTGAAATCTTACTTTTCCATCGATATAGGGTCCTCCTCATATAATTACAGGAATCACATCAGTGTGTTAACTTACTGGCTGGCCGAATATATGGATTCCAGGGGTCCAAATATGGTTTCCAACAGAGCAGGTTTCAGCGTCCCTTTGGCCTTTAAAATTGTCACAAAGAACTAAGTAGAAAAAAAGAGAGAATTTCAAACAGGTAAAAATCACAGGTCACTCAAAGTTTATTCGTGGCACACAGTAGAAACAAGAAGTTGCATGCTCTTTAACTCAAAAAAATATCAAATGCTGTGAATGACTCCTTAAGATCTCTATCATCAGATGTAAGCCTTCTTGCTCACTTTGACCACAACTGTAAACATGTGGAACACCACTACAGCACTGATAGTCTACCTCAGTATTGATAGATGCGTCTGTTTGTCACCACCTTGTTCATAATCTTTGTCTTGTCTGTGTCCCTGCATTTCATACATCTCAAGCATCTTAAAGGTAGTTCCCTATATAATCAAAATAAAGATTTATGTCTGCGTACAGACCAAAGCCAAGGGGCCAAAACCATAAGCTATTGGAGATTACAGATGCCTTTCAGCCCCAGCAATCATCCCATGCAGTAGGTATGCATCAAAGTCTTCCTCTTGACCCTTCCTCATGACAACACAAATAGGTATGTGCTGCCTGAAAGTACCCACATGTCAGAAAGGGCCAAAATACTCACTGTGACCACCAAATCCAGCTGCTCAAGGTATTTGTGTTCGGTTTCCAGGAGCTCCTTGGCCGTCCGGCTGCGTTTCCTCTCCCAGCGAGCCCTTTGCTCTTCCACAGGGTTTGCTCCCACCATAAACAGCAGGCATGAGTCATGCATGGCAACCTCAGGCTGATGTACAGAAAGGCAATGATCCTGAGGAGTCAGAGAGAGACCCGCAACAAGTGAATAACCTGTGCCGCCCCCAGCCCCGCGTGGAGCCACCACACCACCATCGCCGCCGCCGCCGCCCGTTACCCGCCGGACCCG